CAAGCACTGTGTAAGGAAGTTTACATATATCACTTTATTTAATCTTCACAACAAACCCAGCTGGTGGGTGTCATTAAACCCTTTTTTCCAGATACGAAAACCAAAGTTCAGAGAGTTTAACCTACCAGGCTACAACCAACACAGTTGTTTTTCAGAGCCTGGCCTAGGACAGGTATGTTGGAAGAGGGTAAGGACATCAGTTAACCCTGAAAGCCTGTTCATCATGAATGCCAGGGGCATCCTGCAGCACATCCCCCAGTCTCAGTCTGCTCAGTGGGAGAGACCATGAAGCCTGGGGAGCATTTCTGTACATAAGAAGAGCAAGGTCAGAGAGGTGTGTTCCTAAGACAGCCCCATCTCAAAGAACTGCAAGGTGGACTTCTCCAAGAACAGGAAGGCTCAGGGCCAGGGAATTCCCTGGCAGTCCAGCGTTCAGGTCTCTGCACTTTCACTGCCGAGGGCACAGGTTCAATCCCTGGTCAGGAAACAACAACAAAAAAAGAAGGCTCAGGGCAATCCCTGGGCCCCAGGTGAAGGGGCAGCCCTGGGCCAGAGCATCTCTCCTCTAGCCTGAACTTCTCCCTAATTCAGTACTGAGCTAGGAAAAGGAAGTCAGCCTCCCTTCCCCAGTCTGGGAATGGCCCAGCCTGATGATATCTGACTCCCATGGAGCTGGGTCTCAGTGACTTCAAATAATTAGGAAAGGAACCAAAAAAAAAAAAAAAAAGTGATTCAGCTAGCAAGAGCCGGAGTCAAAATTTGAACTTAAGTCTGTATGACTCCAAGCCACATGCTCTTTCTATTGGCTTGGCCAAAAAGTTCATTCGGGTTTTTCCATAACATCTTACAGGAAAACCCAAACGAACTTTTTGGCCAACGCAATACTTCCTCATGTTGGGATAGTCACCAAGTTAGGTTGTGTAGGAGAAATTAGTTTGTGGGAGGTGACAATGATTTCCATTTTGTTTTATTGAGGTACGATTGACATGTAACATTGCGTAAGTTTAAGGTGTACATCATAATGACGTAATATGTATATACTGTCAAATGATTCACCTCACAGCTACAATTTTTTTCCCTGTAATGAGAACTTTTAAGATCTGCTCTCTTAACAACGTTCAAATATACAATATAGTATTGTTAACTATGGTCATCATGTTGTATACTACAACCTCAGAATTTATTTACATCATCACTAGGAGTTTGTGCCTTTCGACCAGCTTCACCTCTCCCCCCACCTCTGCCAACCACCAATCTGATTTAATCTGATCTTTATCTCTACGAGTTTGGGTTTGTTTTTTTTCTTGGCCACACTGCGTGGTATGCGGGATCTTAGTTCCCCCAGGGTTCAAACCGGTGCCCCCTGCAGTGGAAGGGCGGAGTCTTAACCACTGGACCACCAGGAAAGTCCCCGAGTTTGGCTTTTTTTTTTTAGATTCCACATATAAGTGAGATCACACAGTATGTGTCTTTCTCTTATTCCCTTAGCGTAATTCCCTCAAGGTCCATCCATGTTGTCACAAATGGTAGCGTTTCCTTCTTTTTTATGGCTGAATTAAATATATATCATATATTAAATAGATATTATATATATATCATCTTCTTTATCCATTTATCTATTGATGGTCACTTAGGTTGTTTCCATGTCTTGGCTATTATAAAGAATTCTGCAAAGACCATGGAGATACAGATATCCCTTTAGGACAGTGATTTTGTTTCCTTCAGATAGGTACCCAGAAGCGGAATTACTGGATCATATGGTCGTTCTATTTTTAATTTTTTGAGGAACTTCCATACTCTTTTCCACAGTGACTGTACCAATTTACTTTCCCACCAACAGTGCACACAGTTTCCCTTTTCTTCACATCCTCACAAACAATTGTTATTTCTTTTCTTTTTTCGCGTGCACGCGCGTGTGTGTTTATTGAGGTATAGTTGATGAACAGTATTACATAAGTTTCAGATGTACAACTCACATGTACAACTCAGATGTGACTCACAATTTTTATATTTCTCGTCTTTTTGATGATTGTCATTCTAACAGTTGTGAGGTGATATCTCATTGTGGTTTTGATTTGCATTTCCATAAATATTAGCGATGTTGAGCACATTTTCATGTACCTGTTGGCCATCTGAATATCTCCTTTGGAAAAATGTCTACTCAGGTCCTTTGCCCATTTTAAAGTTGGATTATTTGGGTTTTTTGCTATTGAGTTGTATGAGTTCCTTATTTTTTTTGGATATTAACCCCTTTACAGATGTGTGGATTGCAAATATTTTCTCCCATTCTGTAAGTGGTTTTTTCATTTTGTTGATCATTTCTTTTGCTATGCAGAAGTTTTTTAGTTTGATGCAGTACCACTTATTTTTTTATTATGTTGCTTGTGCTTTAGGGATGATAAAGCTTCACTGTAGACATACTGAATTTGAGATGCCTGTGCGACATCCAGGTGAAGTCATCTAATAAACTATTGGGTATAGTAATCCTTGTACAAGTTACTTAAACTCTCTGGCCTCAGTTTTCTCATCTGTAAAGTGGTGATATTACTTATGTTTCAGGGTTAACACTGGTAAGGATTCTTACACAGTACACTGCTCATAATAAGAACAAATTAATGAAGCAATTAATACCTATGATATGATACATGATCTTTACCACACAATTTAGAGTTTGATTATATATTTCCTTGTAAGATCTAGGAGTTCCATTTACTTATGCAATCTCCATAATCAGACAGTAAATTCCTTGATAATAGGAATCCTCTCTTTTATCCCTTTCCATAGTGCCTCACCACAGAGTGGGTACTTAATACCTTATTGCTAGAGTAAATCTGCAACTGTGGAAAAGGATAGGGGCCCAAGTAGGGAGGGCCGTATACTTCTCCTGTAGTCTCTCTCCCAGTTGGTGGTAACACCATCCACTCAATCACCCATGCTAGGAACCTGGAGTCATCTTTACCTCTTCCTCTTTCTCAACCTAGACATTCTAGTACTCACCAGGTTCCAATTATTTCACCTCCCAGGTATTTTTCAAAACCCTCTCCTCCACTATATCCTACCACTATCCTAGATCAGGCTTAATCCCTCACCTACTTTATGGCAAGAGTTTCTAACTGGTTTCTTTGCCTCCAGTCCTGCCCCCTCAAATCTATCTCCCAAACAGCCAGTAGTTGGATATCTAGAATAGATCTGACCATGTCGTTTCCCATCTTACCCTTTAAAAGCTTCCTGATGGACTTCAGCTGCTTTCTCTGGCACACGAGGTCTCCCATGAACTGGCCCTGCCTACATCTCAGCCTCATACCCCATCTCTCTAGACTTTTCTCTTCCCACTCCAGCCTGAAATGTTATGCTCCAGCAAGAAAGACCTGTTCGTGGTTCTACCGTATTTACTTTTTTGTATCTGGCTAACTCCTTCTTATCCTTTAAAAATCAACTCAGCTGTCACTCCTCCAGGAAGACTTTCCTGCCTCCTCCTCAACACCTCTTTGCCAAAGCAGGATTAGGTGCCCCTCTTCTGTAGTCTCAGAATGCTCTGTGCATAGCATCATCACTGATAGGATTATATTTCTTTTCTTTCTTTTTTTTTGGCCGTGCCGCCCGGCATGCTGAATCTTAGTTCACCAACCAGGGATCGAACCTGCACCCCCTGCAGTGGAAGTGCTGAGTCTTAACCCCTGGACCACCAGGGCAGTTCCTGATTATATTTCTTTATAGCATTTAAAGGTCTGTCTCTCCACTAGCACCTTTAAACTCCATGAGGGCAGGAAAGCATCTTATTCACCTTTTCTATCCTTAGTGTCTAATACATAGTAGGTTCTCAGTCAGTATTTGTTGATTGAATGAGTTAGTGTGAATTCTCACAGAGTCTCACTCAAGCAAAGATACCAACAGATGCATATGCATAAATATGCTCACCGACTCCCAAGGACCAGGTGCAAGCACCTGTGTTCTCTGGAGCTCAGCTTACTTCAAATGCAGTAAATTATACATAGTTGGATGTTACACCTACTTGAGATGAAGGGGACCTAAACAAGGCTCTTTTTAACCCAATCTCTCCTCTCTGCCTCTGTCTCTCTAAATGTATTTTTATGGCTCTAGCCTCCACTTGGGCTTTTAACTCACTGTTAGAGCATCATTAATTATAATTTAACCCTTAACTGAAGAAGCAGATGATATGCCAAAAAAAAAAAAAGAAAAAAATGCTGTATTCTAGTGGGAGAAGACTATATTAGTGCAGAAACAGCAAACACCCAGGGAGATGTACAGTGAGAAAGACCTTTCAAAGTGAAAGACTGAGATTTGGACCTTATGCCAGTGTGTGTGGGATCGGAGTTATCCAACATAGATGTATCCAACATGTTACCCATCCCCAAAACATCCAAATAGCTTTTGAAATTACTTCTTCTGTTCATAAACATTGGGAGAGAGAGTGCATGTGTATGTGTATACACACATACCCACTTTTTCTTTTAGAAATTCCCACCTTTTAAATTTTTTTAAATTTTTATTTTATGTTGGACTATAGTTGATTTACAATGTTGTGTTGGTTTCAGGTGTACAGCAAAGTGATTCAGTTATACATATACATATATCAATTCTTTTACAAATTCTTTTCCCATTTAGCTGATTACAGAATACCGAGCAGAGTTCCCTGTGCTATACAGTAGGTCCTTGTTGGTTATTTATTTCAAATATAGTAGAGTGTACCTGTCAATCCCAAACTCCCAATTTATCCTTCCCTCCCATCTTTCCCCTTTGGTAACCGTAAGTTTTCTGTCTGTGAGTCTGTTTCTGTTTTGTAAATAAGTTCATTTGCGTCATTTTTTGGATTCCATGTGGAAGCGTTATCATATTTGTCTTTCTCTGTCTGACTTACTTCACTCAGTATGATAATCTCCAGGTCCATCCATGTTGCTGCAAATGGCATTATTTCATTCTTTTTAATGGCTGAGTAATATTCCATTGTATATATGTACCACATCTTTATCCATTCATCTGTCGATGGACATTTAGGTTGCTTCCATGCCTTGGCTATTGTAAACAGTGCTGCAATAAATAATGGGGTGCATGTATCATTCCAAACTATGGTTTTCTCCAGATATATGCCCAGGAGTTGGATTGCTAGATCATACCGTAGCTCTAGTTTTAGTTTTTTAAAGGAACCTCCATACTGTTCTCCATAGTGGCTGCACAAATTTACATTCCCACCAACAGTGTAGTAGGGTTCCCTTTTCTCCACACCCTCTCCATCATTTATTGTTTGTAGACTTTTTGATGATGGCCATTCTGACTGGTGTGAGGTGATATCTCATGACAGTTTTGATTTGTATTTCTCTAATAATTAGCAATGTTGAGCATATTTTCAACTGCCTCTTGGCCATCTGGACACATACACACTCTTTACACTTGCAAAAATATTCTTCAGTGTCTATTGAGCACTAGACAACCCCAGTGAAGGCTCCTACTTCTGATTCTTAAACTTATTAATTAGATGTCCTTCATCTTGGCTCTATACAAACCAGGTACATAATTTGCAGGGCCCACTGAAAAATGAAAATGCAAATCTCCTTGTTCAAACATCATTAAGAATTTCAAGACAGGACCTCCCTGATGGCACAGTAGTTAAGAATCCACCTGCAAATGCAGGGAACACGGGTTCGAGCCCTGGTCCGGGAAGATCCCACATGCCGCGGAGAAACTAAGCCCGTGTGCCACAACTACTGAGCCCGAGTACCACAACTACTGAAGCCCGAGCGCGTAGAGCCCATGCTCCGCAACAAGAGAAACCACCGCAATGAGAAGCCCACGCACCATGACTAGAGAAAGCCCGTGCACAGCAACGAAGACCCAACACAGCCAAAAATAGATAAATAAATTTATTTAAAAAAAAAGAATTTCAAGACAGTGGCAATATCAGAGCATTAAACCAAGCCCAAGATTCCTCTGAGCACAGAGCCTGTGTGACTGCACAAGGCACACTCCCATGATGCCAGCTCTGGTGCAAGAGGCCCCAGATCAATCCCATATATCTAATGTTTTAGAGGCTATTCTGATTTAATTCTCAGCCCTCCCTTCTCGGGAAGTGGGACCTCTTCTAGCTCTTTACATAAGCCCTTAATTAGCCCCCAGTCTCTTTTGAAGAACTTTCCTTTTGGGAGCTTTGTACAATTGTAATGCCTATTCTGTTTTTCTGTTTTTTTGTGTTTTTTTTTGCGGTAAGTGGGCCTCTCGCTGTTGTGGCCTCTCCTGTTGCAGAGCACAGGCTCCGGACGCGCAGGCTTAGCGGCCATGGCTCACGGGCCCAGCCACTCCACGGCATGTGGAATCTTCCCGGACCGGGGCACAAACCCGTGTCCCCTGCATCGGCAGGCGGACTCTCAACCACTGTGCCACCAGGGAAGCCCATGCCTATTCTTTTACTGTTGACATATGTCATGTGAAAAAGCTTGTTCTCTCCCTCTCTCCTCAGCAATAGGGAACATCTACATGGATCTGATAAGGAGCAGTTTCTATCCTTGTTTTCCAGATACTGAGGGCCGTAATCCCTAACTCTAAACACTAGCAGCTCTTGAGCTCAAGGGGAAAGCAGGGTCAGAGTGGGAAGAGAAGCAGGTAGGAAAACTTTCGGGGTCCAGAGACTAAAAGCAATTAAGTGCAGACAATGCAGGGGGTCAGGCCGAGGGCAGGTTTGGGAAGAGGCTCTGCAGAAGGGGAAGAAGGTCAAGGGTGGTCCAGAGCCGACTGATAACCCCTCTGACATTCAGGGGCCTGTGACAGCCACTGCAACACCTGAAGCCATGGTCCGTGAGGAGGATGAGCAGAGGAATTGTGTGTGTGCAGGAACTGAGCCACAGGCCATCCCTTCCAGGCCCTGACTTCTGAGGACTGCAAGGGTTTCTTCAGGTGAGAACCTCCTCCCCAGCAGAAACGCCCTCCCAAACTGCCTGCCAGGCAGCCTTTAAGCCCTGGCACATGCCCAAGCTTGTCCAGTTACATCACTCCTGCATCTTGAAGCCTGACTACCCTGTGGCTAGCACGCTGCAAACTGCCAACCTCAACACTTGTATAAACATGAGGCAAAATAACAGAGGGAAGGCTGAGTGCTTGTCCTATGGACACAACCCCTTGGTCAAGGGTACTCACTACCTGCAAAGCACCAAACTAGTACAGCACCAACTAGGCTCTCCTGACTGATTCTGTGCCCCCCTGGAAATGCTTGAGATGCGTTGTATCCTCTCTACCCCTAGGGACCTCTGGGCACAGCTCAGAGTAGCCCATGTCACCACAGATTTTTTTTTTTTTTTTTTTGGGCCACTTGCCTTGCGGGATCTTAGTTCCCCAACCAGGGATTGAACCCCAGGCCCTCGGCGGTGAAAGCGCATAGTCCTAACTGAAACGGTGCACCTCAGATTGGGACTCGAACCCAGCCTAGACCCAGATCGGGACTTGAACCCTCTCGGCCAGGACTCGAACCCGGCCAAAACCTACGGTCTTCCAACTGAGATCACATACCTGGTTTCAGGACTTAATGACGCTCAGGTTCTTGATGTCTCATCACAGAAAGAATTCAGTGAGAGACAAAGCGATAGGTAAGAAATGGATTTATTTAGAGAGAAACGCACTCCCCACACAGAGTGTGGGCCACCTCAGAAGGTGAGAAAAGGCACCAGGGTCTGGGGTTGTCAGTTTTTATAGCGGTGGGTATTTTCATATGCTAATGAGTGGGAGGAGTATTCCAGCTATTTCAGGAAGGGGCGGGGATTTCCAGGAATTGGGCCACCGCCCACTTTTTGATCCCAGGTGGGCCTGGGAACTGTCATGGCCCTGTGGGTGTGTCATTTAGCTTGCTGATGTGTTACAGTGAGCGTATACTGAGGCTCAAGGTCTAGTGGAACTCGACTTGTCTGCCATCTTGGACCCATTTGGTTCTAATCAGTTTATGTCATGTCCTTGGGCTACGTCATTCTTTCAAAGGTTGTGCCCTGCCCCCTTCCCTCCTGTTTCATAACCACTGGACTGCCAGGGAATTCTCACCATAGTTTTTTTTTTTTTGCGGTACGCGGGCCTCTCACTGTTGTGGCCTCTCCCGTTGCGGAGCACAGGCTCCAGACGCGCAGGCTCAGCGGCCATGGCTCACGGGCCCAGCCGCTCCGTGGCATGTGGGACCCGGACTGGGGCACGAACCCGTGTCCCCTGCATCGGCAGGCGGACTCTCAACCACTGCGCCACCAGGGAAGCCCCATAGTTTCTTTTTGACCATTTCATTTCAGCCCCTCACATACCTACCTGCTCGCTGCCATCCCCAACCCTCACAATGTCTCTGTCCTCTCAGGCGAACAGTCAGCAAAAGCACCGGTCTCACGTGCCCCTTTGCTGGAAGCTGGAAGGTCAACAAGGCCCAGCCTGCAGGTTGCAGAAGTGCCTAGATGCTGGCATGAAGAAGGACAGTGAGTTGGCCCCTTTCCATCCTGAGAATCCACTACGTCCCTCCACTGACTATGCTTTGCCCTTGTTCCCACAGCGTATTCTCCACAGGGCAGGCAGAGTAAGCTTTGTGAAACAAGTCAGACGATGTCACTATTCTGCTCAAAACCTCCAAGGGCTCCTCCTCTCTCTTATGGTCCATGATCTCATGGGCCAGCTCCTCCATACCACCTCTCAGATTTCACTTCCTACTCTTCCCCTTGCTCAACCCATCCCAGCCACACTGATGTCAATGCCATTCTCAAACACACCAAGCACACTCTTCTCAAGACTGTTGTAACTTATACTTGCACTCGCCATTGCCTCTACCTGGAATGCTCTTCCCCTAGATATTTATATGGCTTTATTTTACTCTTCCATCTCTCAAATATAGTGCCTGTCACTTAGTAGGTACTTGATAATTGTTGAATTATTTAATGTTTTTTTCTCTGTGCCAGGTAATAAGGCTCTGCCCCCAAAAGATAATGTAACTCATACTCAACTTAAAGTAACAGAAATCAACTTGTCCAAGTCCACTCGGCTGAAGAGTTGTAGAGTCAGTATTCACCAGACCCTTGCTTTCTCCATGACGTCACACTGCTTTTCAATATGGAGCAGTGGAAAGGAAACTGTAGAAGTCAAAAAATCTTGAATTCAGTCTACATCACGTTAAGTATTTTGTGACCTTGGACCTGTCACTGGAATGTCAGTCTGTTTCTGAAAAATATGGATAATAACACCTGCCCTCTCCACCCACAGGATTGTTTCATTCAGTGAGACTTAACCTCAGAAGCTTTGAAATTACAAAGCTATGCAAACATAGGGTGATGTTTTTGGTATCACAAGCCCTCCCTCTTCAGTGCTCCCCCAGAAGTCAAACATCTCCTTATACTATTCCCACTTTATTGTCCATCCTTTTTTTCCTTCCCACAGTGCATTGTTTTCTGCTGCAGTGCCTCACAGGGCGGGGAAAGTGTACAGGAATCCCCTACCACCTGGAGCCCCTGGGACTTCAGCCAAGCCCAAGGAGGCCTCAAGAACTCTCCTCCCTCCCCGCGTCCTTCATTACGCAGTGTCCGAGGGCCCCAGACCAGGGGCTGACAGAGGAAGGTGCTCTCTGCTAGTCTCAATAGTTTTGTCACATCCCTTCCCCAGGCACAATGATCGCATCGGCAGAAGCCCGGGCGTTGCGGTAAGCAAGACAGGCCCAGCGGCGGGCACGGCACGCATCGATGCAGCTGAGGAGAAAGAGCTACTCCAGACACTGCTGGGGGCCCAAGTTTGCCACGTGGGCGCCATGTTTGACCAGTTCGTGCAGTTCAGGGAGAGCATTTCCAGGATTCAAGCTGAAATATGACCAAAAGAGTGCCCAAGGAGGCTGGCCTGAGGGAGGGGGCCGTGTGCCACGCACCAATAGAGGACAGGACTTCTCCAGAACCCCAGCCGAGGCAGACTCCTTAGCCCGGAACCCTTCCAAGATAAAGCTGGAGAGGCCTAAAAGAGATCCCTGGGACCGGGGCCTCTCACCCAGGCTCTGATCTCTGCAGCCTCCAGCTCATCTGTTCCTCCATCACCAGCGCTGTCCACCCAGTTCCCTGCACTGCCTCTGCTCACACATTTCGCAGACATCAACACTTTCATGGTACAGCAAATCATCAGGCTCACCAAGGACCTGCCCCTTTCGGTATGTGACCTCCCCTTACCTTTCAGGAAGAAAACACTCCAGTAAATTATAATCCCACCCTCACCACCACCCCCGCCCCCAAAAAAGGTCACTAACCAAACTAACCCATCCCTCAGCCTTTTCAAGTAGCAGGTCTTGAATTCCCAGCTTTTAAGTGTCTCAATCAGAACTGAGAGTTCCTCTCCCTCTCTGAAGTTCAGGCTAGAGTCTAAAGAGCAGGTTTCCTGCTCTGGCCCATGGAGGACCAGATCTCCCTTCTCAAGGAAGCAGTTGTAGAAATGTCACATTGCACTCAATGCCACTTTCTGTCTCCAAACACAAAACTTCCTCTGCGGGCTTCTTTGCTACACAGTAGAAGATGGAGTGCATGGTGAGATGGTGCTAGAACAGTAGAGGACATGCATCCCTTCGCTATGGTATGTGGCGAGGTGACCTGAAGGCTCCTAAGCCTGGTGGTGCAGTGGTTAGGAATCCGCCTGCCAATGCAGGGGACACGGGTTCGAGCCCTGGTCCAGGAAGATCCCACATGCCGCGGAGCAACTCAGCCCGTGCGCCACAACTACTGAGCCTGTGCTCTAGAGCCCGAGAGCCACAACTACAAAGCCCGTGTGACACAACTACTGAAGCCCGTGTCCCTGGAACCCACAGTGGGGTTCCAGGAAGAGTTTTTGGAGTTCTCTTCGGCTTCCATAGGACACTGCGCCAACTGCAGCTCCAGGAGCCTGGAGTATGTGTTCGTGGCTGCCATGGCCCTCTTCTCTCCCGGGAAGCATCCCTCAAAGCCCAGAAGCTTTTGTTCCACCACCTCTGCCCAAACTCCCAGCTCCTTGAATCCATCCATCCAGGCCTTTTAGTCTTCAAACCTGTGGAATGGGTCTATCCCAGTCTTGGCTCCCCGGGGCACCATGCAGGCCACCCGCAACCTCCCACCTTGTCCTTCCCCACTCCCTATCTTACAGACAGGCCTGGGATAACCCAGAGAGAGGGGACTGATCAGTTGCAAGAGGAGATAGCGCTGACTCTGCAGAGCTATATCAAAGGCCAGCAGCAAAATCCCCGGGACCGGTACAGTGGGACTGGACACGTGGAGGCTGCGCCAGGGTGGGAAGGAGTTAGGGAGACACTGAACTCAGGATGAGTGCTTTTACTGTCCTTTCCTTTGGGAAACCAGGGCGCCTGGGGGTCTAGTCCTTCCCTCCCATCTCATAGAGTTCCGGCATTCAAATTGCTCCTACTGCTGTTTCATCTCACTTTTCCCAGATTTTTTTATTCAGGAGAGATGCAAAGTAGTAGCTCACAGGCTCGGTATAATAGCATTCCTGAGATTGATGACATCCATCACCTCACCAATCCAACTCCTCCAGACTAAAACAGACTTTCAAGAATCTTGTTCACTCTCTTTCCTTGGCCCTTCCCCTCCTTCTCCATTGGTCCAATTCCTTTTTCATTCCCCTTGAAGTTACGGTCATTCAGTTTCATGGCCAACGCCAGCCCCTGGTTCAACAGTCCATGATCTAACCAGGCTCTGAAGTACACTCCACTTCTGTCTTGCTTATTCCTCAATGTGCCAGTTTGGCCAGAAGAGGGTTGCTTTATACCATAGAACACACCCACCTTCTAGAACCTGCTCTAGAAGGCCAGATCCTCGGATTCCACACAGCTGAATATCTGGCAAAGTCTGGGGCTTCCTTCACGCTCAGCCCTCTGAGCTCTGGGTTCAAGAAAAACGGCATGGTGAGAGAAGTCGGTGTCAGATAGAGGCCCCACTGGGGACCTTTGGAGCTTCTGATACATTTGTCACATCAGAGCGTATTTTCCCTAATGTTCAGACCTAGCTTCACAGAGAGGCAGTTTAGGGGGTCAGGGCCTCAGGACAAGACTCTCAGCTGCCTATCTCTCTTCTCCTTCCCTGGTGACCCCAAAGGTTTCTATACGCGAAGCTGCTGGGCCGGTTGGCTGATCTCCGAAGCATTAACAATGCATGTTGGTACCAAATTGAGAACATCCAGGGGACTGTCCACCATGGTGCCACTGCTCCAGGAGACCTGCAGCTGAGGCCCAGTTCGCCTCCTTCCCCAGACCACCTGGACACGCTGGACTGGAAAGGGGAGAATGCTCGGACCAGAGGCTGGAGCCAGTAAACAGGGAGCCCACTGGTTGCAGTGAAAGATCAAAGCAATGTCTGCCTCTTCATGCGGTAATGGGGAGAATGAGGGGTGGCCATGGGGACAAAGTTGTTCTCTGGAAGCACAGAAGATGGGGAAGGAGGAAGCCTCAGGGCTAAGAGGTAAAGAAGCTCCGTCTGGGAATAGGTGGGCCCCACTTTCTGGGGTCAAAGATTTAGCCCTTCAGCCCTTCTTTCCCAGCCTTGGGAAACTCTGGGATGGAAAACAGGATGGGAGCTAATGCCATGCAGATTTTTCTGCTCTGAAGAGGAAGAGGCTAGGAGCTTTAATCCATAAGGAAATGAAGGAGGTGGGAGTGAGGGGAGAAAATGCAGCCAGACAGACGCGTTAATTCTTCTCCCTTAGTCCAGAGCCATAAGAGTATGGGAAGATGAAACTGGGGCTGATGGCAGAGGTGGGAGCCTCAAACCACTGCGTCAGCAGCTGCCTCTGTGGCAGCTCCAGTTCTGAGGAGGGCATGTATTGTCCCCACTCTGCTCCTGGGACCTAGAGGTCACCCAGCAAGGTGGGCTCTTGAGAGGGGCCTAGTTCCTGGCCCCAGGGCACCTGACTGAGAGGTTCCAGCTGTTATGGGGGCTGGCTCTGGGACAACCTCAGCCCACAGTGATGCTGAAACCACAGTGGAATCTGTTGCGCCAGTGATTAAGGAAGGCTCCGAGGGCGAGGGTGACGGGCAGCGGGGGCATCTTCTTCTCCAGCACAGCACCCACACACCAGTTACTATCCACCAAGCCTGTTGGGGAAGAGAATATACACTAGGTTATCTAACAGGGCTCGGAGAAAGGGGCCAGCAGAGGAAGGCGGAGCTTCCCTCCCGCTGTCCCCCACCCCGATCCCTCAGCACCTCCGAATGTCATCTGAATAACCCTCACCTCTAAATACCATGTTGGCCTGGGGCAGAGTCAGGTGGTAACCAAAGGAGAAAGTTGTGTCTTGTAGCCTCGTATTTGCCTCAAACTCCACTCCAACCTGAACCTGAGAACCATGGGCAAGGATGGGAGAGGGATCTGTCTCAGTGAAGACTAGAGGAGTCCTGACAGGGGATCAGCAGAATGGAGGTGCGCATGAAACGTATATGTAGCGAGGGTAGGAAGAATAGTGGGTCAGCAGGGCCTGTGGAGGTTGGGAGGGACTCGTTGCGGCAGGGGATGGGATCAGTAGACTCACCTGTTCATTTGCCTTGTGGTAATAACTTGCATGGGCCCCACCTGATCCCACATTCAAGGTAGCTACCCAGTGTACAGCTGTCAAAACCAAAGTACAACAAAAACACACACACACACACACACATACAAAAAAAAAAACCAAAGTACAAGTGAAAAGGAGCGTTACTGTAATAGAACACAGGCCAGGACCCCAGCCAAGTCCAGAATTTCCCTCCCTGTCACTATTCCTCCTCACCCCATACCCGAGTACTTCCCAGCCAGTGTCAAAATGGCCCCCTCTTCGCCTGGCCGCCGGTGATAAACTAGCTCTCCTCCCAACACCAGCCGATGAGTGAGGCTCTGCAGGAAGTGAGCAACCATGATCACTGTGGGGTGGGGAGACATGGAGTCACTCACAGAGACAGGCCCTCTACCTCACCCCCAGCAGCCCCCCACCCCAGCCTGCCCCAGAAAGTTTCTTTTCTAATCCCTGAACTGTACAGACCATGAAGAGGCATAGCCAGCATTAGCAAGTGGGCAGCCAAGACAAAAAGAACCCTGTACCAATTCCTCACCCGATTCCCCAATCAGGTCAGGATTTCCTAGGGTCAGAGTGGCTGTGTAGTCATCTCCCCGATACTCGCCATCAAACTGCCACGTCAGGAACTTGGCCTGCTGCGTCTGGGTAGGGAGAGGGAGAAGTAAAATCTCCCTCCCTCTTTATGATCACTGTTGCCTCTGCTCCTCTCCCTGAGCCCCCAGAGCAGGAAACTCATGGGGCAGAAAGAGGAAATGCTTCAGTAGATGAAGGCAGGAACCATGGGTCACCTGGAAGACAGCCTTGGCTCGGAGCCGCTCTGCCAAAAGGAGCAGGACCTGGGCGTTGAGGCTGCCACTGCTGTCCATGTCCCCGACCACAGTGGGGAACACCTGTTGAAGAGTGTCCAGAGTAAGACTGAGCTGGGTGGCACCACTCAGTCTAAATCCAAATGCAGGATTCCTTTAACGGTACCCGGCGGCCCCTAGTGGAGCCACAAGGACAAACTCCCAGCTCATCACAAATACTTCCCCACCCTCTCCCAAGAAACACAGAGGAGGTGCCCTGCCCATTCTTCCTCATAACACACACATTTCCTCCTCCTCTACACCTGGGTCCTAGCTGGGCTTTTAGGGAGATAACCCAGGTGTGTGGAGCCCTCACCTCAGTTGGGCTAAGTTGCCAGTCCCCTGCATAGGCCGCATGGAGGTGATAGCCCGGCAAGCCCAGAGCACTCATGTGCACAGTGTGAGCCACCTAAGGAAAGAGAGGTTGATGGAGGAGAGAGCATCTCTGCTCTATTTCAATCCCCCATCCCACCCTTCATCCTGTCCCCATCCAGCAGGTCTTTTAAGAAACCCAAACATTACAACATATACAGAGGGTCACCAGATTAAAAGCAACAAGTCCCACAGGCAAAGGAAGTAAAGAGAGCCCCCATATTCTCTCTCTTTTGTCCCATATAGCCTGGCTAAGGCTGGAGCACAAAGGAAAGGAGAAGAGGATCCAGAGACAGGCAGGGAGGAATTGAAAGGAGGGGCCAGAAAAGTGGGAGCACCTGGAAATGGCTGCTCAGAACCTTGTTGACAACGAGCTTCACTCCCTCCATCTGTGCTGGGAATACATCTGAAGTGGGTGGAGGGGAGGGGAAGGGAAGGAATAAGCACAGGCAAGGAACCCCTACCCCATGAAGTAGTCTCCCCTTTCAATCCCATAGAAACTGCTTTGGAGGAATTGACCTCCTTTCAAGTCCTGTAACAGGAAGTGTTCCGCTGCACTGAGCACCTGATCCTCCCTGAGGCTGCCCGCCCCAGCTGTGATCTCCCCTTTTTTGCTCCCATCACTGGACACCCACCATTCAAGACCCTCCCCTTCTCTGCCCCTTCAACTTGAGACACCTAGATGCCAAGTTCTCACCTTTGCATAGCCGGTGCAGCTCATCGAAGCTCCCAGGGTTGGGGAGAGGTTCCTCTCGACGGGGGCTCCGGCGGGGCAAAGCCCCCATCGGTGCCAGGCCCAATGTGTTCCCCATTTCAGTCCAGAGGTCAGGGGAGGGGCCGGGGTTCGCCTGGGAAAGGACGCTATTGCTCCCTCTACCCCGCACGGGCCCCACCCCCCATTATCCGGCTCCCCAGTCCCAGAAACTTCCACATGGTCCGACGCTAGACCTGGAACAGGAAAAGTGGGGGGAGAGGGCACCGGTGGGGAGCTTGAACCCCAGGCACACTCCCACCCCATCTTTAATCCCTCACCCCCACCTGTCACCCCTGTACCCTCCCCCACTTTCTAATCCTAGCCTCCACCACAGACCTCACCCAGCTTCCTAGCCTTTCTGCTCTTCATTCCTATGCCTCAAGGTGAGGTTTGCAATCGAGCAATAACCCTTACCGTCTCATACCATCATGCTGCCCCTTTTCCCCAGGCACACCCCGGTCATCTTGATGGGGGCAGCCATCTTGAATGATGGCAGAACTGCGGCTTCACGTTGCATTCCCAGCGTAGTCATGAACACCATCTTGGAACCGGGCGAAAAAAAAAGGTTTCAGAGACCCAACCCTCCCTTGATTGGGCTCCGCCCAATCGATTAAAAAAAAAAAAAAAAAAAAAAAGGCTGCCTGGCCGCTGAGCATGGGCCAGTGGGAGAGGAGGACGCAAAGGAGTGGCAGACCTCTCATCATGAGAGCTCCAACCCGGCACTGCAGAGACAGACGGGACTTGCTGGTAGCTGCTTAGACTTACTCAAGTAGATGGCCTTAGATCGCCCTGCCTTTCCAAGGTCGGGAAAAACCTTTGAGCGTGCAAGACACTAGAGGGAGCATCTTGGAGCTTGAGCCACTGAAGTTCCCTCCACCATATAGCCTGGAGACGCGTTTTGTGAAGGGTGGCGGAGGGAACGACTGTGAAAACTTCTTTCGAACACTGCTTCGGAACACCCCTAGGCGGCCCCCACCCTCCCAGGCCCTGGGGACTCCCCCTCGCAGTCCTGAACAGTACACAGTACACCTCCAAATGAGTTCGACGCACAGGTACAGCTCTCCGTAGGCAAATGGACCTACACCTCCCTCCTGGAGGTCTGCACCTCTCAAAGTTGGCGCTCTTGTCCTCTTGGTAGAATGGGAATGGGTGTGAGAATTTGGGGTAGAGGAACAGGGGCTTCAGCCTTAATTCTAGCAGAACTATTCCCTGAAACAATTGACCCCTGAAGTTAATCCTTCCTTCCCTGGTTCCTTAGGCAGAGTTGGCAAATAAAATCGAGGAATATGGACTCCTGCCCTCAATGCGCTCCACTCCAAAGCTACAGACAAGTCAATGGAGTGCCCTTCAAGAACCAAGTGCTCCACAGGGGAATAGTTGAAGATAGAATAAGATTTCTTAGGCTCTGGTCGCCTCCCCACTAGCTCTCACATTACCGCTCCCATCTCCCAGGAATGCTCTATGTATACTTTGAGGGCAAAAGGATGAAAGATACAGATACTTCTGATATCTATTTAGCTGGTTTCACCCAGATACCTTGGGCCTGGGGAATGCACCTCTGCCTTCCCTCACAGTCAGGGCTGGGACAAGGGTCAGGGCCTTGGTCAGAGGGCTGCTTTGGCTCCTGCTGACTCATATTGGCTGACCACTGCCTGGAACCGGTAAGGTGATCAAATGCCCAGAGACCTTCAACCTTTATCCTTGGTAGAAGCCTCTCATTCACCTCTTTTCCCGCCAGAGCGCTCCAATTCAGGGGGAGGGCACCGGCTGCTTTCTGGATTTGTTTTATTGGGGGTGGGCTGTGCTCACTGATCGGCTCCAGTGTTTTCTCTCCCATCTCATTCGTTACACATTAACTCAAAAAGGTACAGAGTCAATCACACCTGGCCTCTGGCCCTAACCTTTATTGTCCTAACCTGCATTCCCCTCACCCCGTCTCTGATTTTATGTCCTTTCTTCTGTTCCCCAGTACCTCTCTGCCAAGTTGCAGTGATGGGGGATAGGGTTGGGAGATGAAATATCCCCATAATGGGACAAAGATACCAGGGGCTGAGGGCTTGATATGTCAGAGCTTTCCAGAGAAAAAAAACCTAGGAATCCTGCTTCCTGAAGCATTCAAATCCAAGGACTACTGGGCCCAGGCCCCAAAGGAATGGATCCTGAATAAGCCTAAAGTATACCCCTTGGCATCCATTAAGGCCTGCACCCCCTGCCTCCTACCCCGTCACCATGAGTCCCCCACGTGCTGTCCTCTCCTCCCCCCATTTCTCTAACTTGTTTACTCCAGTATAGCTCCTGCCCCCCTGGACTCCTCCAAAGTACTTGTCACCTGACAGGGGGGTGGGGAAGCATACAGATATATAGCCCCTGCCTCCCTAGCCAGGCCAGGCACAGACGGCAAGGACAGCAACGCTGACTAGGTAAAGTAAGGGAGTAAGAGGTGTGGGCAGCATCCAAAGATTTAACTGTAGAAAGGGAGGGAACCAGGTTGGCGTGGACATGTAGGTAGGGGTCTCTGGGGAGGGGCTGAAGCCCATTCGCTTCAGTGACCTTCCCTGCCCTCACCTGTTCGCAGGCCAATTTCCCTTCCATTAACACCATGAAGCTGCTTCCAATGACTGTGTTGCTCCTTACCATCTGTAGCCTTGAAGGTGGGTGTGTTATGAAGAGGGGTCCCAAGGAGGAAAAGGTGCTTGGGTCCTAGCTGCCCATCTGTCTGTTCTCCTAGGCCCGGGTCTGGCAACCAGAGAGCTTAAAAGAAAAATCATTCCCTCTCTAAAGTCCAGAAAAGTGCATCCAAAAACCTGGAGCTGGATACCTGTTTGGGGAGAGAGCTGAGAGCTGAGGCTGAATACTGGCAGAGATGTGGGACTCATTGTTGGGGACTCAGCTGAGGATGTGTGTGTGTGTGTGCAGGGGCTTTGGTTCGGAGACAGGCAGAGCTGCCGAATCTGCAGAGCCTGTTCTATCAGTACTTCCAGACTGCGACCGACTACGGCAAAGACCTGCTGGAGAAGGCCAAGGGCTCAGAGCTTCCAAACCAGGCCAAGTAAGTCTCAACAAAGGGGGTTCATGGACCAGGGGGCTATGGAGAGAAAGAGGGGAAGCTGGGAGGTCCTACAGAAGACTGAGCTAAGGGGTGGGGGTTAGGGAGGATGAGGTTTAAATTGTAGAGAAAATTCCTTCATCACCCCACAGATCCCATGGACCTCTTGGACAGACAGGGGTAGCGGGAACTGGGCTTTGAATTTCTATCTGTATGGTCTGTTCTATCTCTATCTCTGCCCAGCGGAGGGCTTGCCTCTCCTCCTAGGAGCTTTGCCATGCCAGGATAGACCAGGCACTAGGGTTTGGGGACTTGGGTCTCACCTCCCACTACCAAGAAGGCCCCTACCAGTCCCTCATCCTGACTTCTAATCCCTCACATATCCAGGGCCTACTTTGAGAAGGCACAGGAGCAGCTGACGCCCCTCGTCAAGAAGGCTGGAACTGATCTGGTTAACTTCTTGGACAGTATTTTGGACCTCAAAACACCGCCTGTTGCCAAGTGCGTTGCCTAGACTGTTGTCTTCCATCCCCAGCTGGCCCCTGGAACACCCACTGGCCAGGCCTAGAGCTCCTCTTCCTACCTACTCCTTGTTTTCTATGATAAATATTGAAGGAATCAAGTTGTGAGCCTGGTATGTTTTGGGGACTGGGAAAAGTAGGGGTAGTGGAGGAAGAGGAGGAGGGAGAACAAAGAGAAATCTGCTTCTTACAGGAGAGGGGTTTTGGTGTGAAGGGGTGGAGAAAGGGTTGAAGAGACCAGTGATGGAAATGACAGAGTAGGGGTGCCTGTGACTCTTCTCCAAACCCCAGGGATTTTTCTACAGGCCTGGGAATGGCCCTGCAGGAGAAACTAAAGAGACTTTGCCGTGGACATGGTACCTTGAAAGGCATGAAAAGATTCATGAACTGAATCCCTAGACTCCTGAAGGTCACGGGAAATGAGAGCACCCTTCAGAATTTCCTCTGTCATACTATGAAGAGGAGAAATCTTCCCCAAAATGAGCCCAAAGGTGTCACCCAAGGCCCCTCCCTTCCCTTCTGAGCCAGGGGAACACTGTGCTTCCCCCCATCCTTCAATAAAAGACTCCTCTCCCTGAAGGTGCTCTAATCCTTCCGTTTGAAACCTCTCACCTAGACCCCCTGTCTGGGAACACCCATTCCAAGCCTGTCCCCCACTATTACCTGGGTGCTATTCATGGAATTGGCCCAAGTTGTGGTAGCCGTCTCAGAGCCTGGAGCTAGCAGACGTGGTAGCCAGTTAAAGGCCTAACAGGTCTCCAACTTGATGGACATGTGGGACTTGAGAAATTTTGGTAGCTGTGATACCTGGATTAAATCAAAATGGAATGGAGGTCAGGCTGGACTGATGCAGGAGACTCACAATCCCAAAATGGGAAAATGGGCGTTTTCCAATAAAAGTTTACTTCCACTTTATATTTAAAATAGTTACTTCTCTACCCTGACTCATTCGTCATATCTCATCTGAAATCACCTTTTCCCCAGACACCAGAGATAGCTCCAATTTCTTCTGTATATATATATATATATTTTTTTTAATTTTTATTTTATATTGGAGTTTTGTTGATTAACAGTGTTGTGTTTCAGGTGTACAGCAGAGCGATTCAGTTATACATATACATGTATCTGTTCTATTTCAAATTCTTTTCCCATTTAGGTTATTACAGAGTATTGAACAGAGTTCCCTGTGCTATACAGTAGGTCCTTCTTGGTTATCTGTTTTAACTATAGCAGTGTGTACATGTCAATCCCAAACTCCCAGTCTATCCCTCCCCCGCTCATCTGTATGCTGACCAACCTCTTCAGTCTGGGCTTTAAGACCCTTACCACTCGTGACTACTTTCTTCCCCTTTCTTTCTCAGTATCTATTTATTTTTTCCTCACGTGGCAAAACGTGCAGGGACACAGATCTGTCTGTCACTTGCAAGACGACATTGGACAGGTTAATTAACTTCAAAGAGCCTGAATTTCCTCACAGTGTTAATGAGTGGATCAAATCGTACGACAGGATGGAAAACACATTGAAAAGTGTAAGTCACCATGCAGTACAAAGTATTGCCCAGCATAGGGGGTTGCTAGGGGTAAGCCTGGAGACTCTGGACCCATTGGGACAGGGCTGGGATGGGATTCAGATACTACCAGGGAATCCTGCCTCGAAACAGGACAGGCACTGAGAAGGGGGATTCCTTCACCACTCACCCATGCAGTCGGAGGACCTGGCCTCCCGTCTGGACCTGACTTGTTCCCCTTTGCCTTACCCTCCTCCAACCCAGACCTGGCTCCCTCAGGTCCCTCTTGCCCCAGAATCCACTGAAAACACGGTTCCCATAAAACCTTCCATTGGGAGCATCACACAAGCTTTAGTCGCACCATCCCTTCTGCATGTTTGGCTTTTCAGCTATGCCAATGCCCATATGCATGTATATTGCAAGCTGCGCTCACACGGCTCCCTGAAGCCCACTCTGACCTGGACTGGTGACTATTTGGGGTTGGATAGCCAGGCTTCTCCGCAACCCAACCTCATTTCCGTTGTCAGACACAGAGGGCCAAGCTGGGTGCGGAAGTCACTTGTTGGGTTCAAATGTCTCTGAATGTGCCTAGACCCCCAACACATTACTCCCTGCTCCAGCATCCTGCTAGAGAGCCTGGGGGTCAAGGGTCTCATCCTTCCCCCAGTCACAGTCAGCATTCATCCCCCAATCAAGCAGAACAGCTCTGGTCTATTAGACTATGAGTTATGGAAGGTCAGGAACTAAATTTGCCTTGTGATATTTTCAGTATCCAGCCTAGGCTAGTAGAGGCTGAGGAAATGTATGTTAAATGAATGAATGAATAGAGTCCAGTCTGCGGTAACTTTATTGATGTTAGTGCCTTCCGTTTCCATCGTTTAGTGGGAGTTGGGGACGGGGAAGTGGAGAAGGGTGGCATAAAGAGGTGAGACTAGAATATAAACATTAATGAAGAGCATCTGAGGTCTTTGACAGGGAGGAGGAACCACTGGTGTCTATTAATGGGGGGCATAGCGTCATTACAGGGATAGGGTCAGCTGGCATTAACGGCGGGGAGGCATATGTGATGCCAGCTACGAGGGCTGGGAGGAGAGTGGAAGAAGGAAGTGACCAAGGGCATCTGTTCTAAAGTTATTGTGGCGGTTTCTCATGCTTCAGGGTCTCATAAGTCTCCTGGTTCCGGGTGCTCAGGCCCTGGAGGTGGAAGTCAGAAGACAGTCAGGAGCTTGAGCCCATCACAGGGCCTCCTACCCACCCCCAGAGGCCCTACCCCTTCCAAAGTTCACTCAAAAGCCCACCCTCTTCTGCTGACTTCCTGGGACTGGGGTTGGGAGGCAGGTTCACTCACCGTGTAAATGCCATCTGATTTCTGCAGAGGTAAAAGGGCAAGGCATTAGAGACCCACATCTCCAGGGCCCCTCAGCATCTTCTTCCCTACCCCGGGAGGTATGTGTCCAGGGGTGGCCGCCCCCTTGGGCTAGAGGGCACTCCCATGGATACTCGGGGGAAGAATGCACATTTGCCCATATGGCTACCAACACACATACACACACAACATACAACACTCTCACGTATGCCTTGTCACTCTACACTTGACTCTTCCTCGTCACCTGTTGAATATTTTGTGATTTGGCTAGGTGGCAGGGTGGGTAGGATGAGGTAGGAGGGGGACCTCTGAAGCTTACAGAGATCAGCACCTGAGTCCCATGCCCCCCAGAGACCGCAGATCCCAAGGCTAAAGCCCCAGAAGGGCTGAGAGACTGAAAAATTGTTGATACCCAGTTGAGGAAGGGTCCATACCTCATAGCTGGCTGTAGCTGCCTTTCGCACCTGCAGCTGGAGTAGGGGAAAGGCCATCAGTAAAGGTGGAGTTAGTGGCCCAACCCCACCTCCAAATGTTGTAGGGGAACCCCTTTTATTCCCTCTCTTTGGAGCCATGCTGCCACCACCCTCCCATTTCTCCTTCCAGCCCTCATCCCACGCTGCCCAGCCCTACCTTGAGTCGACAGTAGAGCAGGGTGAGGATAATACCATATAAAAACAGGATCGCATCCAGGATATAGCAGAGCTGAGGTTCTCCCAGGGCCGCTGAGGGGACAGAGGGTACCCATGGGGTCAGGGGCAGCAGGAAAGATCTGGTGCTCAGAGGAGAGAAAGAAAGGGCTCTGGAGGTAGGACGGGACTTGGAGGGGCACCATCCCAGGGAAGAAACTTCATCTTCCTCTCTCAATTCCTATTTCTCTCACCTCTCCCTCTTCTTCCTCACCCTAGGCTAGGGGTAGGACAGGAAGTGTGAACTGTTCTGTTGTGATGGAACTTATAGGTTCTGAGAGTTGAGAGCTTCCCCCTCAGCCCCCAACCCTCTCTTTTTAGCACTGTGGGTTCCTCAGGCACCACTGAGCATTCCATAGCCCTCAAGGGACCCATTTGAGTTCACTGAGCCAAGACCAAAACCTCGGCCCAGGGGGGTCAAGTGAGTGGAGGCAGTGACAAATTTCAGCAAAGAAACCACAGGCGTGTCTCTGCTAAGTCCTGTGACCTGTTGCTAAGGGCTGGACAGGAAGGATGTGAGCTGAGGAAAGGAGGGAAGGCAATCACTCTATTATGGGTCATCTAGCCTCAGCCACATCGCTTTCTGTCCCCCCCACCCCCATCCAACTAAGACACTTAAATATGTAAAAACAAGGTGCCTGCTTTCCTTGGCCTTATAGATACCGATGGCTCTGCACATAAGGCTGAGCGAGTGTCTTAGCCCAGGCTCAAGGGAATGACCACAAGCTGTATGGATTCCGGCTCCGGGTACTCTGCCCTGTTACTCACCCTGGGCCACTGAGAGAGGAAGTTTCGTGCAAGGAAAAAATCAAATAAAGTCTGAGCTCCAGCCTCTATCTGCTCTGACCCCTATCAGAGGGCTCATGGGCATGTGACATATGGGTGAAGTACGTTTTATTCTGTGACACTCTTTCACACACGGTATTACATAAGTCTCAAAACTACCCCGTGACGGAAACATCATCGCCATTTTGTAGATGACGAAACCAAGGCTCAGAAAAGCTAAGTAATTCATTTAGGGTCACAGTGTGAAGTACCAGAGCTGGAATTGAAATTCAGGTTTTCTGCGTTCCAGGTTCGTGCCCTCTCTCTTATGCCTCAGTGTCCCTGCTCCCTCATCCCATGGCAGCAGACTGGCCGCTCACTCAGTCCTTCCATCTTCACAGCTGGGCTGGTGGAACTCCATCCCAGTCCATCCAACTTCCCCATTTTCCCTTAAGTTTCACTAACCTCTTCCTACCCGAACCCCAGCTGTAACTATCCCTCTTCAAAACACAGACGACCCAGACAGAGCGAGGAGAGTTTAGAGAACGCCTGGAGCCTCAGAGCTGCAGAGGACTTCCCATTTCTGCCTCCATTTCTCAGCTGACGTTTAGCTCTCTGGAACTGGGCATTGTACGCTGCCCCCACCCTCACATCAACTGTGCCTTAGTGATGACCCACAGAAGCCGCAATCACGTATCTGACTACCCTTGCCTCACTCCTAAACACAAGGACAGGCCCCTGCCTTCCTGAAGGGGGCTTTATATTATTTAACCAGCTAGAGGTCAGCTCCCAATGGAGAAGACCAAAGGCACCCCACAGAAAATGCTGATCATGAGAAACAGAATTTTCCCCCAGACCAGCTTTTCATGTCATACACCCACTCCCTTCCTCTGCCAAACTGAAGACTTACGTGTGTATCAGTCCTGAAAAAGTAAGAAGGGGACAAGAAAGGAGGGAACTACAAGCCCTGCGCCCTGACAGAGACTGGGCAGGACCAGCCGCAGGGTCTCTGTGCCCATCCTCCCAGTGCCAGCCTCCCTCTGTCTGTCCCTGCCTCAGCCCTCAGACACATGCCCTTGATTCCAACCCTGGAGCCCAGCTCACTGTCCCTCACCAAACCCTCTTACCTGCTTGTTCAACCAAAAGGATTAAGAGCAAGACCACTGCTGGAAACATCTTGGGCAGGGGCTGAAGGGCCGCGAGCTGGGGATCCGACGCTCTGACGGCACCGTGCAGCTGTGCTCTGCGAGCGGCTCCCTGACCACAGCGTTGCCCCCTTCCTGCCACGCCTTCCTCTGAGCTCTGGCCCCTTCCCCTTCCTGCACTAGAGACCGGGCGGCTCCCGGAAGGGCCAACCAAGGGAGCTAGGAGATCCGGTCTCCTACGTCTCCGTCCTTCAGTGACCAAGCCCCTGCTACCGTGGAGAGGCAACACCCATGCTTGGGAAAGGCTATCTAAACCCGCCATCTCACTCTAGCCCTGTTCAGAGACAGAGCTCTGATAACTTGCCCCTCAAAATTCCCTAAGACCCCATGATAGCCCCTTTCTCTCCCCCCTGGAACTCTGTACCCAGTCTTCATTTGAGGAGTTTACCAATTGGTGTGGGCAGCAATGTTTGGGCAGGGAGGAAGTAAGGGAAAAAGAGGAAATGGGCAATGGAGAAGTGGAAAGGACAACGGTCACAAAAGGGGCAGAGATGCACAGGAAAAACTGCTAAGCACTGAGTCTAACAGA